ACATCTGAGGCTTTTAATAATGGTTTTGACAACCCAATGAATCATTCAGAATATCAGAATTTACTTTTAAGTAAAATGACACCCAAAAATTCAATTGAATTGAAAACAATATAGAATGCTATATTGATCATGATCCATAATTTATATACTTTATATGGTCGGAAACGTTTCCTTCTGCCTGTTACATACTTTACGGGTATAATTACAAAAAAAATTATATTAAAAAAATTTTCTAAATTTGAATGCAGATTTGTAGAGAATTGTGTCAGAAACATTTAGAGGTATGCCACTTCAACATCCGATTAAGATAAGTTGAGTTATGGAGCTTAGAACTTCAGCCTTGGGCCATTCTTTATTTTTTTTGAGTTTGTACATTATACATCAGAAAAATTACAAAAAAATTTAATTTTTAAATTTAGAGGTATTTACAGGTAGAGTTTAAAAATAAATTTAAAAAAAAGATAGAATGCTATAGTCGAGTTCCCAGACTTTCAGATACCCGTAACTCAGCTAGTGGAAGTGCGAAAGAGAAATTTCATAATTTTCTGGAATGTCGGTATTGCGAGAAAAATTATCAAGTACTATTAACAACGTGTAATATAAATATCCCTTGACAAATTTCAACCGTATTTCATTCAGTTTCACGACGAATTTAAATATTGCACAACTTATATTTGACGAAATAAAATAGTTAGCATTTCTGGCAGGCGAAAAGTGAATTTTATTAATTTCTCTTTGCTTGAAAAATGTTTATTTTTGGCAGCCAGGCGTTTGACATGGTAATTCAGCATTTGATACGCTCCCGAAACTCTTTTAATCGGCCCTGACATTGAATGCCGCATATAAAAAGTAAGATCGCCAAAAAGTATTTTGTCTACTTATCTCAGGCTCAATTCTTCTGTGTGAGCAGAATTCCCCCAATTCTACACATTTTGCTCTTCATACTATGCCAAGTATTTCCCGCTGTATCTAGATGTCGAATGAAATGAACTGAAAGAGGGATATGTATCTTGGGGAGACGTCACCGGTTACCGGAACAATGGCCACGAGCTTCTGCCGTGATCTCCGCCGGCGCTTCGATGAGCAAATCGGCGGGTACACTTCCGCATTGATGGGTGGGGCAGTTTGATAGGGGGAGGCTCTGTCTGGCACACGGGAAAGCCAAAAATTCCCGGGAATGCTGTGTGTTTTCAGGGCCAATCTAACAGTCGTGTGGATACCTCACTTCCAACCTGGGACGACGATGGCGACTCATTCTGGCACTGACCACACCAAATCAAGACCCATTCGCAGCTGTTGAGGGTGGGCATCATATTTGTGGCCAGCTGCCAAATCACAAATGCCGGCATTCGGCGATAAATATGTTTCGCATGTGTTCAGTAAAAAAGATTAATTTCTTAAGTCAATAAAAACCGCTTTGGGCAATGCCCTTCTTGTAGCTTTAAGAATGTGCTGCTCTCAAAAATTCACCAATAAATGCCACCAAAAATTATCCCAGATTATTCAAAAATATACAAAATCGGATTGGCTTTTTGCGACAATGGCAAAAGTGGAAATAGAAACAAGGCTCTACACTTTCATCTTTTTCCTTCACCCACTTTAAGGGGTATATGCCGACCAAATCGTGCCTTGAGATTCTGAAATTCTTCGCTCGAGCAGCCAGCCAAAAAGTTCAACACAACGAATTCATGACCAAATGGGTACAATGTCAATAGCACACGCCCCAATCTCAGAAGAAGAGGAAGATTCTTTAGAAGCCCCCATCTCGTGTGCCCCCCATAAAAAAGATTCTTTTACACTTGCTTCTTTTTGCCGAGCATATGCAAATTTGTTTTTTTAAGTGCCGAAATCGGAAATGAAAATGAAATTGCGCCGCAAAAAGCAGCTGCGCTAATGCTAAATATATTGTCCATTCTATAATTGTACAAATTATATAAATATTTGAAGAGTGCCGTGCTGCCGATTTGTTTGGCCAATTGTTTGTATTTTCCGCCGGCCAAATGTGGATCAAGTTTATGTTGTTACCAACGATAAGAGAAACAGTAACCCACACCCAAGGTGGCTACGTTTGGCGAGGAACAAAACGCCTTATTCGTGAGGAGATACTAAATAATTTACAATGCCTTTTGATTAATAATGCGGCGTTTCGTAGTGTAGTCGCAATTTATAAGTAAATTCCGTGAGAAAACACAAGTGTGTAGAGCATTGCTGCGTCCAAAAATGAAAACAAAATGCGGTTTAACGTGTGAATTGGATGTTCGTGACGGAATGAAAGCGCCAAAACATTATTTTTTGGGTGAGCGAAGCGCTCATACCCTATATATTTTTATAAAACCATAATTACTTCATTAACTTAAGCAAGGAAGAAAGAAAAGGTCAAAACAAAACAGGTGAATTTTAAATGAATAAAATGATTCACCACAAAGGAATATAAGTAATATTCGTTTAATGATTAATGATATATTCAATGATGCCGTTACAATAAACTATAATTTTGCAATGGAGAAAGCCCAGAAAGACTTAATTATACTAAAGGGGCTGTTTAATGATTAACTATTTGCCTGAAAACTATGCTGTAAAGTAAACTTCGCTGGAATGCTAATAAGTTGCTCAAAATTGTTTATGCTGAAATCAGAAATAGGCATTTTCCTCATTTGTTGTGGATAACTTGTTGTTGATATGGAACATTTTACGCAGAATTGTAAAATAGCACAAACAAAACTCAAATATCAGTAGACGGGCGAAAAATTTGTTAATAATCGGACCTAAAAACGAGTACTATTTGCGAAGCGGAGAGCGCAAAACAAACAATTTTGTTATTCTTTTCAATTGCGTCAATGCGGGGTCTCAGAATTCTGAGCAGGTGGAAAAGGGGTTGCTTATGGGCTGGTTGGCAAATGGGCCAACAAGTGTTGGCCCTCTTAAATCTGGCGTAAGTTATTAGCACACAAATTCGCCGTCTGGGAAACTTGGAGCGGAAAAGCGCGATCAGCGATCGATCGATCATTATCCGCGATCAAATCAGTAAACAATATTTTATTCTCTAAACAATACTTAATTTCGCTTTCATTTTCTTACGCCATTTGTGCGGCTGTCGCTGTTTTCGATTTTTGTTTACCCAGTCGTCGCTTTAATGACACAAACAGAGAATGAAACTTGTTTAGTCAGCTGAAGAGCAATGGGAAAATGTTGTTGCCTTCAGCGGATCCATGAAATTCAATCCTTTCCAGTATTGCGTTCCCTCACTTGAAGCATAAACAGAATTTCCCTATAGCCCCTTCAAAGTTCTTTCCAGCAGTGCTATATTTAATGATTTATTTTATTGAATTTTTGATATTAGGATTTTGTTATTTCAATTTTGTTATTTTTCAAAAATGTATAATTGAAAGTTTTCGTAAGCACACAAGCGACGCATTATTAATGATTATAATTAAACTGCGCCTTCGATGTACTCTTTCATTCCCAATTGCGTTCTAATATCACCGCCCCAAAAGAGGGATGGGATTGGAAATACCCAGCACAGCCATCAGAAAGGTCATCTGAAAATTGGATTTCTGTGCGGCGAAATTTCAGCCTTGGCATTCGGTGACGTCGTGGATTTCGATTTAGGAATAATCAGAATCTGAATAAATGCCAGAACAGCCGAATATTAACACAAAATATTGTGCATTAGTGAGTTGTAAGTGTGCGTTTTGTGACTCGGCTGTAGGCGAATCAAAGGAATTTATCATGAGCAATTATTTTGATCCCCGCGCCCCCCTTCACGACCCCTCGCTTGTGCCAAATCAATTAAATTTGAAATGGATGACCAACTGTTGGGAGCCAACAGTCGCCGGTTTTCGTACGATAGTGCGCGATCCAAAATTAGATATTTTTGAAATATGTATTTTTAAAACGCCAAGCCCCATTAACATTTTTCCCATTGAACTCAAATGTTTGACATTTTTTCTGTTAAAAAAATATGGGAGACTCGCAAATTTATAGGATTTTCTCTTTTGGAGTCCTGAATGATATATTTTCACACATATTCTCCTATTTTCTAAATCTATTCATTTTACCACACGACATTTATTTCGACATTAATTTTGACATTTATTTGGCTGCGTGGCCAAGTTTTATTTAGACGGCTCAAAGTGCAAGGACTTTTCCAGCCAAGCATGAAAGCATATGTCATTTAAGACGAAGAAAATATTATGTGCAATGAAAATAAATCTGAATGTGAAGAAATTATATATGTATAGCAAGAGTCCATTTAAAAACCGTGCTACTGCAAGTTACGAGAATGTCTGGCTTTAATTACGGATATACCGAATCGAAAAATCGATGATATGAAATATCAAAGTATAAACCGATTTGGGGAGCATCAGATTTTCCAAGAGCTGGCTGGAAAATAAGCGGCGGCCGCCAGAAAGAATGCGTCATATTTATAGGCGGAAAACCAAACCTTTATCTTATCTTGCGAAACGCGACTGACCGCCATATACGATTAATCTGAACAAAACAAATAAACAGCTGGCGATTTGGCTGTCACAATGTTATTCCAATTGATTATTTTCGCGGCTTATTTGCTAATTAATTAACCATTTCTTGTGACAGCCGGACACTTCGGATTGCGATCAGATAGCCGATTATTAGCTGGTCACTGGTTTTATAGGTCAGCAAATGGGTGAGCAAAAGCCGTAAAAATATATCTAAAGCGCACTAATAAGCATTTGCAGCTTTACATAAGTATCCGTATGCGAATCGTACTAATGATTGGCTGCAGTTATCCAGATATCCAGATACCGGCCATAAGCGGATGAACCCGACACGTGGCACTTGGGAATCAATAGACTAGACCTTGACTTGATTGTTGTTTTCTTTCGATCAATTTTGCTTGGGTTCTGTTTTTTCCGGTCTTCTGGCGAAGCAATTGAATAACATGCCAACAGAACCAGCGAATGGGATTACACGCTTAAAATACATATTACCGGCCAGAGAGACGTACAAAGATGGACATATTGTGGTTTCATAGAAGGTTTGTTAATTTATTTTGTTGCAGTTAAAACAATTTTACTTATTTCATAGCCCAACAATGAAAACCCAACGCCAAAATACGTTTAGCCTAAAATGCCAGTCTGTATTCCCCGGAAAAACAAAATAATAATAGTAGGGTAATAAAATTAAAAACAAAAACTGGCACAGTACCCGCAGGATTCATGCATCCAGCATTTGGATGTGGGGATCTGTCCCGAACTGCCTACCTAAAGATTCGTATATGCTTACAAAATTCGAGTGAATCGCTTAGGTCCTACTAAACAAGTTCTACGACAGAAATCTAGGATTGCAATATTTGTGTAGTTGTGCTAATTTCTAAATTGTTATCTAGACGGGGGTAGTACAAAAATATATATGTATATATATTATATTACATCTAAGTGGTCATCTAGATGCCGAGCAGGCACTCTCCGTTCCCAGGAGCCCCTGCTGCGGCAAACTCCGCTGGCTACGCCTGCGTCACGAAGTAAACCTCGCCGGAAGAGCCCATGACCACGGCGTGGGTATCGCCCGCGCCGCCGGCCAAAGTCGCACTCTGGCCGGTGGCCATCATGTTGGACATGTCGGTGGTGCCGTTGCTGACGATGCTTACCGCCCCGCTGAAAGCATCGTCTTGGCCACTGATCTGCACCTCTGCACTGTGGTCCGTACTCTCCACATGCAGCTGCAGTGAGTCCACATTGTCGTACAGAGATCCGCACTCGCCGCACTTAAACAGCGGCTCCACCACATCCGGGTGCTTGCGCTCTACGTGCCACTTGAGGTTCACCGCCGAGGAGAAATTCTTTCGGCAGTTAGCCACCCCGCAGCAATACGCTCTCTGCTGGTGCGTCTGTCTGTGTCTGTACAGGATCGCCTTGGACTTGAAGGTTCGATTGCAGATGGTGCACACCGGCGTGCTGGATTCGGCGTCGTGCGTCTTCATGTGCATGCGCAACATTCCTGGGCCCTTAAAGCTCTTCAGGCAGATCTGGCACTGCGGCTGTTTCTTGCAATTGGCCCGTATCCAGTTGGTGTGGGAGTGCATGTGGTTCTGCAGACCTTTGAACTGCCGGAACTCGGTGCTGCACAGGTGACAAATATATCTCCCAGATCCCAGAGGCGAGGTGTGCTGACGTATGAACTCAGTTACCAGATTAGCATCTATTTCGTAGTTGTCGTCCGCACCGGCGGAGGCAATCACGCTGGCCGTCTGCACCAGCTGGCGCGAATTGGCTGCGGCCAGCTTGCTACTGATCGTTGAACCAGCGGTAGGGGGCTGGTGGTCGCAGGGTTCCAGAGTCACACCGGCTGGAATTTGGTTACTTCGCTTGGCTCGCTTTGGCGTCGGACTGGCCGAACTGACGGTCAGAGTGGGAGCCACCAGGGCGTCTGATGTCGTTGTGGCCTGGCTGAACTCAACGACAGCGTTCTCCAGTGATATGCTCTGCATCTCCTCTTGGTGCTGCTGATGATGCGGCTGCTCAGACTCCAAAAAAGCCTGGTCAATGTCCACACTAGTCTCGCCATCCGGCGGCTCCATAATTGCGTACTGCAGATCGTCGTCTACGTCACCGGACAGATGCGGATCCTGTTCGTCTGCGATGTACTCACAATCCTGGTCGATATCGTCCCCATCCGGATCCTCCAGCATCTCGTCATCCTCCAGCTGAATCTCCTCGATTATGAACGTATCCTGGTCTTCTTCGGGCTTCAGTTGCTCGTCCTCATCTTCCACCTCATCCATCGCCTGCTGTTGGTCCAAATCGTCGAAGTACTCATGCTCTTGGCTTTCACTCTGTGTGAGATCCTCGTTGATCATCACTTGATGGTGCTCGTGGTGATCTTTTAGGAAATCCTGTTGCTGGTCGTCGTCCAGGACAATGGTCTCAAAGCTGTGATCTCCCTTGCCGTCCAGTTGCTCGTACACGTCTTCAAGTTCCTCATCCTCCACCTCACAGCCGTCCTCCAGCAACTGCACGTCGGCATCTCCCAGAGAAGCGCCTACATGCTGACCCATATCCGTGGCGTTCGTGGTGGTGGTCACTGTCGTGACTCCGGTGGGCGCCAAACTGCGTTGCGGGACAAGTTGTACTAGCTGCAGAGTCTGCGTGCCATTGGGCTGCTGTACAATCTGCAGTGTCTGTCCGTTCGGCGTCTGTATGAGCTGGGGCAAGAATTGCGATTGCGCGGCGGTGGCCTGTCCATTACTCGTTGGCTGCGGCGCTGTGCTGATGATCTGCGCCAGCTGCGGCGCTACAATCTGAGCCGTCGTGATCAGTTGGCCGTTGGGCAACAGAATCTGCTGCGGCATAGTCGTAGTGGCGCCGGCAGCGGACAGTAGCTGTGCGGGAGCAGGTTGAAGTGTGGGCATATGAATCTGCTGGATTTGTTGCTGCATCGTGGGCTGGTGTGGCGCATGTTCCTGCATTAATTGCATCTGTGGCTGGGGGGCGGGCTGCGGGGCTGACTGTGGTGCTGGTGCGGCCTCCAGATGCCTCTGCTTCTGCTGGCGGGACCCCTTGCGGAGCAGCGGCTTTAGTTTTGGTTTGGCAGGCGGCTGCTGATGCTGCTGCTGGACTAGCTGCTGCTGGAGTTGCTCCTCGAGGATTTTCTGTTGCTTCTGCAACTGTCGCTGTTGCTTGCGCTCCAGCTGGAGCTGTTGCTTGGCGCTGGCCGCCTCCTGCTGCTGCTGCTCCTCCATTACCAGTGCCACGGTAAGACCGCGGATATACTCGCGCAGCTCCTTGTCGCTGCGCTCGACGAGCGTCTTGAAGGCGTGATTCCGGCTTACGGCGTGGACGCACTGCACGCAGATCTTGTCTGGCCAGCCCTCCGTGGGCTCCACCCGCACGCTGGTACAGTCCATTAGCATTTCGGGCACCTTCTCACTGAACAGCGGACGCATTTCCTTGCGCTCCGAAATGCACAGGCGGCAGATCTTGTCCAGCTCCAGGACCTTCTTGCGATCCATTACTTCGTGTTCCTAGGAGGAGGCTGTAATGGGCAAGTCTTTAATTCAAAATTCCCAATTAAATTAGGTCTGAGCCCCGAAAGGTGCATGAGTACGATGTTTGTTATGATTTGCCGCCAAAAAATAGTCAATTAAAATTCAGAATAATTGCATCTGTTGTAAAATGACCTGCTAACTCACTGTTATTAACATGGACTATCGACACGTCTGGTAGCACTTGTGCCAGACAGAGACAGCTATATTGTTATACACAATTTACCATCTTGGTGTTGGTGTGAGCGAAAAATGCGATTTTTAGGCCCAAAAAATGAAACAAATACACAATTCCTCGCTTGAATTGGGTAAATATTGGTTTCGATTCACTTGCACCCACACTGCGTGCACCTTTCGACCGGGTTCCATCACCAGAAATCAACTCACCTGCGCTGTATTTATGTAATTTTCGCAGCTCGCCCCACATCCAACACAAAAAACTCTTTAAATATGGCCGCGTCACACAAATCCCATTCGGAACTCACATATTTGTGGTTCAGGGCGAAACACACACGTTCCCGGAGGTGCAAACTTCAAAACCAAAACAAGTGCACACCAGTGGGTCTTTCGGGACCCGGATCGAATGAAATCACTAGCTATCTCTGGCGACGTTATCAATAAGGTTCTTCCATGAGATGAATGAATTGATGAACTGAACTTCTGCCTCTATCTGTCTTTCTCTGTGTGCGAGTGTGAGTGAGATGATAGGCGTGTTGCGAATGGCGCTGCCAACGTGGCTTAAAGATAGAAATCCCTAACGCATGCCGGTCGGAAATCAATTTGTTTATATCTTAAGATCTTTAAGATTTTCCTTTAATAGTTTAAACTACTTAAGCTTATGTTAGGAACTATATTTAAAACTTACCCTTTCTTTACTTATAACTTAGGGTTTCATCTGATCACTAGTCCCATTAATTCATCGCTTTTCCGGGCATTCTTTAATGCTCCTAAATTGATTTCGTCTTATAACAAATCAAACACACAACACTTTTTTTTACTCACTTTAACATTTTACAGCCGAAATATTTAATACAACTAAACAAAAAACGAAAACACAAATTTTAATTCGAGGACATAGCAATTGAGCTGCCAACTCGTTTTTTAAACTGACATTTCAAACTAAAAACACCTGTTGATCCTGGTGTTATTTTCGGATTCAAAAAACTTAAGGCTAATGTTCATAATTTTTAGGCGGGTGGAGGCACATTTGTGTTGGCCACTTCGTACATATGGCGCTTCTTGTTTCTCCTGTTCTGGGCGCTTACTAGAATGTATATGGCCAGGATAATAGCGAGGGCCAAAAGCAGGCATGTAACCACAAACCAGCAGTAGAATCCTGGACCATCCTCATCGAAATCCTCTTCCTGTGCGCTCTCCCACTCGGTGAAGTTACCCAATGGATCCTCCTTTATTTGGCCAACCTTCTGCTCTCGGAAAAGTGAGGCCTTAGCCAGATTGCTGGATTCCGGATCCATGAAAACTGGCTCCGTGTTGTCTATGCGGATGAAGGTGAGCTGGCCACCGGTCAAAGTTTCCTTAAACCGTCTCAACCCATGCCCATAATACTCGTATATGTCGGCGTCGAACTCCCGATGCTGGTCCACCCACTGTCCAATCACCTGGACCTTCACCTCGCTCCTGGGGTCCATGGCTCGTCCGAAATAGGCTTTCTCTGCAACATCCAGGCCTCCCATTCCATACGAGTCCAACTCGAGGACAGAAGAACGGTGCTCGAAGAGCAGGGGCAGCCTGGAGAGCTTCTTATTCTTGTACACACTGGACATATTCATCAGGATCTTCTCCACGAAGGCATAGTTCAGGCTACCGTAAATGGGCTTCCGTTCGCCGCTGGGATTTCGGAGCACACTCTCGCCCAGGTGCATCTTGTAGCTGTTAGTCACATTGCGCCACGGCAGGTAAGTAATGTTCCTCAGCTGGTAAGCCAAGGGCTCCAGTTCCACCAGTACGTTGATGTTATCCTCCAGACCATACTATAATGATATCACATTTGTAGAACATCTATCGGGTAGTTTACCCAAGAAACTTACAAAGTTATCGCCGAAAATCATAACCACGCAGGTGAAGAGGTTGTCGGACACCGCATTGACAAGATCCGTGTGCCGGAAGTGACAGAGCTCGGTCTTCTCGCGCTCCACGTTCGTGGCCTTGGCAATATAGGTCAGCCGCTCCTTCGGATTCAGCTCGGCCGCATAGTTCTGGAGCACGGTTTGGTAGGGCACCCAGGCCAGGACCGAATCACCCCCGTTGGCGCACACATCCGCCTGACCACCCCTTCCAGTTAGTTCTCCGTTGCGAAGCCGGAGAAAACTGTGGTTATCCCGCCTGATTGTTGTGGAGCCGTGATCCGCACAAAGGGTGTCCACGAGGCTCGCCTGGGAAATAGAGAGATAAAAGTTAGACGGAAACAAAAACCTACACAGTTCGTAAATAACCCCCGACTCCAGCTTATCTCAGGTCCGCCGGCATTATCTTCTTCAGCTGCGATGGACACTTTGTCACTTTATCGTCAACCTAATTCAATTTGGTGTATCAGCCACTCAAAGGTGGCACACGAATAATTTATGGCTGGCATTGGATTGGTCACTTAAGGATGTCGATGGGGCAAACTAGTTTGACGACACAATTTTCGCCATTAAAGGTAAGGAGTTTTTTAGACTAAGGCCATTTAACAAATATGGAATCGTGCAATCTGCTTTTAGCTGCCAAATAATTGCATTAACTGCGATACTTTTATTACAAAAGCAATTGAATCTTAAACAAATTGCATATGTGCTTCTTCAATATAACTATATAATATATTAAGTTATTATAATTGACTGTTCTGAAATTCAGCTTTCAAATTTATGTATCCAATGCATCCTGAAAAATTTGTATTGCATATACATATGCCCATGAGTTTACCTTCTCGTTTTGTGTCAACGTGGTGGCCCTAATGTGGCACTGCAGGTCCTCCTCGCTGGGGATGACCACATGTCGATCGATCTCTGACAGAAGGATGGGATCCGTCTTGATGCAGAAATGTGGGTGTTCCTCGAGGGCGGCGCCCAGTGTCACCAGCACGGCCAGGCATCCGATGATGTTGGCTTTCATAGACATTTCCGTAATCTAGTGCACAGAGTTCTTGCGCCAAAGCAGTCGATAAGCACACTTCGGTGGCCAAGTAGTAACTAAATTTACAATTTTATAACACCTGAGCAACGGACTATGCGAACGCATTCAACTTGACCGCCAAGCTGTCGCACAACGAACACCCCAATATCACCATATTTATCTATTGATGAAGGATTCGGCCGAGATTTGCTTCGATTTTCGGTGAGAGCCGGTCCGTAATAGCGTCACCAAAAACCCAGTTAATGAGTAACGACCGGGGTGACGAATGTATTCGTTTCCCAACATGCAATCCACACTTGGCGATAAGATAATCAATCGGCTACAATTTGACTCAATTCGCATAGACCGTATGTGTAACACTGGTTAGTTATGATTTCTGTAAGCATTAGAGTCGATCAATTAAACTTTGAAAGTCTGAGTACTTTGTTATATGTTGTTAAAAGAACAAATATTGTAATATCAAAATAAATTAAAAATATGAAAGCATTATCAACTTGCTAAATAAATGAGCCTCCCATGAGCCTCTGCAATTGGTTTTCTGTATAGGCAAAACAAATATGCATATAGTTAATTTCTAAAACGAAATATTTAATATTTTACATTCTGGAATTATGTGTTCCAAGTAATGTATTTCAATTACAATAGGCTTAGTATTATACAAAAATTGGAAATTGCCTGGAAAAGCCTTTTATTCTAACAAAATCGTTTATTTTTGTTTTATAGCAAAAGTACACCATTTTTATTCAGGCTTGTACAGTGAAAATTGTTGAACAATTTATAGATTTGATTTTTACAGTCGGTACTCAACATGCGATCACTTTACTAATCTTTAGTTGGCTTTAATGCAATCCTGCGGCATTCGTATTGGATTTGTACAAAATTCAAAAATAACAAATTACATTTTAAGGTAACAGCTTAATGTCTAGTGTACTTATACTAAGACGATTGTTGTTTGCTCATCCCTCCATGCGCGCTGCGAACAACAAAGAGGATCGAACGAGACGAGACGAAACAACGGGTGAACATTGGAGCGGAGCAGTGGATCGGTGGAGGAACAGTTGTGTTGGTGGTTTGGGTGAGGAGTGGGCTCAATCTAGGGGAGGAGAAAATACAAGTCGTACACGAACAGAATCTAAAGATCTTGAGTTACCGTCTGAGCTGCTTCTATCGAAGTATTCTAGCACATCTTCAAAATCTCCATCGTCGTCGCCATTGTCGGAGCCATCGTCGTCGTCCATATCGTCATCGGAGTCCAGCGGCTCTCCATCATCGTCGTCTTCATCCAGGTCTCCATCCTCATCGTTGTCCGAGCCATTAAGGTTCCGAAGCAGGGGGGAACCCATGAAATATTGACCTAGAGCAAAAGCTAGGGGGTTTTGGGATTTAGCAACGGAAGGCTATGATCAAATTAAAACTTACAGGTTTCGGAGCCCGTATCCGAACCGTCCTCATCAGATTCGGGCACCTCCTCATCATCTTCCTGCAAGCATAGACATAATATTTAGTTCAATATCATCCATCCGCCGCATGAGGGTTCTCAGATCTATGGCAGCGCCGATTCCGACTCCGCCACCACCATTTAGATTCAGATTCCCATTCCCGCCACTGCCACTGCCATTGCCACCCAGTGTACGTGCCCGCCGTCGCACCCCAACAATTGAGCTGTTGGGTGCATGTTGGCGAGAAAGATTTGGACTTGCGTGCATGGCGGGACTTAGCCGGCGTAGCTGCTCCTCCTCAAATTCGTTGGGGCCGGCGGGTGCAGCGTTTTCCACCGCCTGTGGGCGCGCCGGTGCCTCCTCGAAAACCCGAAGCAGCGAAGCACCGCCAACATCGTTGGCGTTCGTCGACCCCGGCGCCACTGCGTCCGATACCTCGCTGGCCAGCTCCTTAACCGCACGCACCTCTTCCGAGCGCTCGCTCTTTTTAACGCCCACAGCATAGATCTTCACGTAGGTCTCCTGTTTGGACTCGTAGCCGCTGTAGTCTTCGACCACGGCGATCAGACTCCCGTTGGCGCTGACGCTCAGATCGTTTATGTTGCGTTTAACGTCAATGGTTGCAATGCTCGAGTAGTCGTAGGCGTCCAGAACGTTGAAGCTGGTGTCGTAGGTGGTCGTCTCCATGTCATGGTCCCTATCAGCCCCCAAGCTAGCGCCGTAGATTACATGCATCGGGGAGAACGTGCAGTTGCGCTGGTCTAGCACCGGCACTGTCTGTAGCAAATGGAAGGTGCGCAAGTCCCACACCTCGGTATTGGCGATGATCTACAAATTGAGTCGGGAATATTAACATGGGAGAAATCACTCAACTCTAATTTGGACTTTACCTCCAGACAGTTTGGATGGAAGACGCCTGATATGCACTGATTAAACTTGTCGAACTTGTGGATCTCCTTTCCGGAACGTACATCCCAAAGAACGCCATCTAGGAAATTAAATGCAATTACATTTCAGCAAACTCAATACTCCTAAAGGTATTTCACTACTTACCCGACAAAATCAGTTCATCGGTTCGGCAGAGAGTTGCTCTGTTTTTGGTGTAGAGATTAGGTATGGTTGGCGTAAACGAGGCCACCTTGGAACCAGTGTTTATGTCAAAAAGCGTTGCGCACTGTGTAAAAAGTATAAAGTAATTTGTTTACAATTTACAATTCCAATTCGTAAAATAACTCTAAACCAACCTCATTCTGGGTGCCCAGCAGACGATCCTGCGCCGTTTGACTAAACTCACAGTAGGTTACATCGGGAAGACGCAACTTCAGCTTGAACTCATCGTCCGCAATAGACCACAGAATGCTGGTAGGTGTGCGCCAGAAGCTGGATGTGATGACAAGATCTCCGGCTCTGTTAGCCTTTATAGCATCCACGCTAAAGTTGTGGCAGTTGGAGAAGAACTGTTCCACGCCGTCGTTCATGTTGAACACTCTTCCGTCGCCCTGTTGCGTGCCGACAATGATGTATTTACCCACCAAATCGCAACAAGTGAACTCTAGGTCCTCGTAGTCCGCCGATCGAATACTGCGCCATGGAGAAAAGTGCGTATGTACATAGCGACGGTCAAAGCGACTGGTATTAAATCCGGCTTGGGTTCGAGCATGTCGGCTGGTCAGGTTGTAGTTCGAGCTCAACAAGCGGCTGGGCTTTGGATCGGGACATTTGTGCGGCTCGTACAAATCAAACTGCGGGCAGGTCGTCACTGGATTGTTGCACAACGAGTGTTGGTTGGTGAGGTATTCCGTAACGATAGTATTGAGAGTGATCCTCTTGGGGTGCAGTTGGCCATCTTCAGGAAGACCAACTGACATGCCACCCGCCTCCATTGTCTGCTTCTGGATAGAACGGCTGACGGAACTTCTATCCGTTCTCCTTATTTTTATGGGCGTCTGAGTTGTGTTAAGGGAGCCAAAATTTGGTATACATACTCCTTCTCCTGCATTGCTACTACCGGCTCCTGCCGGTGAGAAGTCCTCACCAAAACTTTTGTTCAAGTCCCCACTGCCCATTATCGCTGCATTCACATCTTGCATGCGGCTCCGCAGACGATTTCTGGACAGTGAGCTACTCCCACTGGGAAGACTTTTGTAGTCGAAAGGTGATTGATGAAAACTGCGCGTAGTGGGAGTCTGCAGTGGAAGACCCACCTCCCGTTGCAGCATTTGGGCTGTTTGGGAGAGACCGTTGCTCTCCAGGTGTTCGAAGATAAGCTGATACAGCTGCTGCTTGTTGTATTGGATGCGCGTCTGAGCGATTACGTTGGCCTTGTGCATGTTGGACAGCGATGGATCTAAGGGATTGTTCAGCGGTTTCGTCTTACCCGACACTCGTTCTAGCAACTCCAATGCGTACTTTTGGAAGATTACGTGTTCCGCGCGCTTCTCCTGGAGTATGGGATCCCGCATCAGCGTCTGGAGTTGTCCGCTAGCGAAAAGTGGAAGCTTGCTGACGATCTGCCTGACCCGATCGGAGCGAGCAAGTCCCGCCAAGGCCCTACAGGCCATTCCTCGTATGCAGTCCGCATCGGTGATGGGTCCTTTGGTCTGCATCAGCGATAGCAAAACTACAATGCCATTGTTGGAGCAGACAGACTCCCAAACACGTTCAATCAGCTCCTCGGCATACTTGTGGTTGGCCTTGTTCTTCCTGGAGGACGTTCCAAACTTAATAAGGCTGGTGCCGCTATCCTTGCGGATGATCGGAGAGCAAACACAGTGGCACAGCACCGCCAACGCCGATTTGATTACCTCAGCATCCGAGGTAATCTCACCTGCAGCAGCGCCCAGAACTGAGCAAAATCCTGAGGTAGTGGTCTTGTCTAGCATCAGCAGGCGCTCGCAGAGCACCACGTAGACTCTTGGGATAATACAGCAAACGCTGAGCACGTCCAGAGCCGCACGCACCGTCTCGGACCGTCCACTGTTCACCCAATCGTAACTGAAGGCGATGATCCTAAGTAGCATGGTAATTCCACCAAGCTTCATCAGCTGATCCACCGGTTGCCAATGTGCTCGGATAGAAGTGTTCTCCTGGAGCGTGCGAATCTGGTCGTGCAACTGATCGAAGGTAAGTTTAGCAGCCACAGTGGGATTCTGATTAAAATAGTGTGCTGAAGACGGTGACGGGGATGCCGCATTTGTCAGGCACAGGAAGCTGTTGTACTTGTAGAAGAAATGGGCCTCCATATACCGCTTGAGGGCTACGCAAACGTGGCGCACCATTTGTCGGGAAGCACATTCTACGTCTTCGTTGATATCAGAGTCGTTGTCGCTGTCGTTGTGGCTTGGATCAAGAATCTTTAGTACCGAAATCTATTACGAAGGATTAAAGATATAAGCCTTTAATTCACCTTTTTCGTATAAACCATTTACTTACGACATTGTACAGCTTTCTTAACCCATCCTGGGCATCAAACTCATCCAATATGACCTTAAACTGGAAGCTCAGACTGAAGAACATGGTGGCATGACACTTTGAGGAGTCGTGGCAACGACCCAGAATCCAAAGAGCATAGCGCACGAGTTCTGAAATAAGTGGTCTTTGCATGCTGCATATCCGTTCCATAGCGTCTTCACAGTATGCTAAGTAGTAGATGGCGATGGACACACCAGTGGTCGCCAAGCTGGGGCGGGGCACTTTTAAAAGAAGCTGGAAAAAATGGTGAAGTTAAAAATAATGGCTCTCCTTGCATGACAATTCACTGACCTCCAGTCCACCGTGTGCAATGAACTCTAAAGCAAACTTCTTGTGGCAAAGAAGGGAAGCCAGATACTTTAAAACTTCGTAGGCCAAGCAGGTGTCCCTGCGATCCAAGTTCTCTAGGTAGCCAAAAATTAGCTGCATCACATTGTTCTCGAAGGCCATGGCGAGGAACTCTTGATATTCGCCCAGGCTGGTCAGGAAGCGCATAATTAACATTTGGCTGGTATCAGCTGTGGCCGGGTGCAAAGGAATATACATCCTTTTGTAATAGCGGGATACGCAAAAAGCATCTCTGCTGTTCTCGAACAAAATGGACATATTAGAGGCATCTCCATGCTGCGAGGAACTTGCTCCCAGCCCACTGCCATTGTGCTGCGGCGATTGAGGAGCTGATGCATTACTGGCGCAGGCCACCCAGCTGAGCATCCCCGCTGTACTGCTATCTGCCGACAGATTGTGCATCGATGTATTGACATCTGACGTGGCGCTCTTGCTGATCGCCAGCAGCATGTGAAGACGTTTGATCATCTTGGGCACCAAGCGAATATTCTGATCGCGAAAGTTTATGGCAATGTCGCTCACTTCCATCGCTTCGGCTAAAAGACCTGTGGCATAGCTCTGGAGCGGTTCAATGCTGTCCTCTGCCCAAGAGTAGATGCGATTGATGGTTCCATCCCCTTCGGCGGTCTGAAATACTGCTGAAGTCTCCATTCCTGGCATTATCTCCAGGATGAGGCGGCAGGCCAGGATGTTTAATTCCAAAGAGCTGCGACTGATATTCTGGCGACTGAAGTAGTTCTCTCGCAGGTAGTCGTTTAGGAGCTAATAGAAAAAAAAATGTACTTTAGTAGCTTATGTTTTGGAAACCCTAAATAGTAACAGAAGCATTTTAATTTTCTTTGCAAAAACTGTAAAGATAAATATCACATGAGTCTTTTCTTACTTTGCCCATAAAAGTATCCTTCCGAAAGAGCAGCTTGAGTAGCAACCCGTACTGGCAACTGGGATCAGCTCTATATGGATGTCGTGAGTCCAAAGGATCCGGATCCTTGCGCCGATACACATCCTTCTCACGCTCAAAGATCTCCGCCAGGCTGTGAAAGCAAAGGCATTAAGTAGAGTCAATGCGGGAATGAGCTTAAAGCACGTTTACCTTCTTAGAGTGGGAACTGGATCGTATCCATTTTGGGTCTGCTGCTGCTCCCACTTGTCGATGATCTGGGTGAGCTCCTTTTTGGTGGCCTGGCGACGATCAGCGGCGGCGGTTTCCTCCGCGTTTCCACCGCTATCGCTTTCGTTTTCCGCATTTCCCACGCTCATGGCGTCGTCCGCGTCCGCGGCCTCTGGGTCCCCCCCATCCTGTGGCTCAGCGGCGTCCTCCTCCTGGTTATCGGCCGCTTGCTCCTGCATGTCCCCGTCCTCTGCCTGCTCCCCATCGTCGCTCTGGTAGGCCACAGCCACCGCTTCAGCCATCAGTGCCGCCTCTGCCTCGGCCGCAGCCTCTGCTGCGTTTGCATTCTCGCTACCGCTGCCCTCAGACATCGAAATGGTTTTCTGGGTTTTGGATGCACTAGCTCCTGATCCAGTGGCTTTCTTAGCAGGCTATTGGACACAGTGCAACTTACTTCTAATGGCGAAATAAAGCAAATAAATACGGCATTAAATACCACGCGCTTTTCGCAAAATTAGTGTGACCTTTTGGTGATGGCTGCGAAATAACGAGGTCAGCTGTCGCAAAAATTTGTTTGTTTTGGTCTTTCGGCAAATAAAACTAATATTAAAGTTATTTAAATTAGTCTAAAGAACGCACAATTATTAAACTGTGTAACTCATAAGGCTATTATCAAACTAATGCTCAAATAAAAGCGCGCCAAAAAGTCACATGCGGCTGTGAGGAAACGGAATGGTGGTATTTGAAACAAAGCGTTTATACGTTCCAATTTTTTTGCTACTGCTAAGGCGATTTCAAAAACAAAAATACCGCTACGTTGACCAACGATAAAGAATCAAGTTCATATGCTGATTAGCAACTATTTTTTTTCGAATGGTAAGTCTTCGTCCAATACCATTTCAATGCCTATTAGATCAAATATCGCCAGCATCTGCATTAAAATGTCTACAACTGGATATTCACAGTCGAGTTTTAGATCTATTATTTTTTAAATTTAACTTGAAAACTGCGGTTAAATTAGGGTTAACGTTGCCAGGTCCAATTCCAGTAAGTCTGTGGTCTGGCAGCAATGTCATAATGAAGGCATTGCCGGATCGATTACATACACGGTCTGGCAGCTCTCCATGCTTCAGCTCTGAAAATGTTGTGAAAAGAAAACGCTCTTTTCCCAATGATTTGCGTCCAAATTGGAAGTGCTAACTGTGCGGGCGAGATAGTGATAATGCCGATCGAGTGAGGACAAGACACTAAACGGGCGGAGCGACTGCGCTGCGATCGCCCCGCTTCAGCAATTGTGTGTGTGTATCATGGACAAGCTACGAAACAACAACAAGGAGAATGCACCCATTGAGTACCCCTACCCACAGACCCCCCGTCCCTCCCACGCCTCACCCTTCGACACAACCCCGCTGGAAGCTGGCGAGGATGCGGAGAGCAACAAGAGCACACCCTACTTCACGCCCCTCGAGTACCTGCAGACGTCCTTTGAGTTCCCCTCGCCCACGGTGGAGGTTGTGGGCGAGGTTCCGGGCATTGCCGAGCATGAGGATCAGGAGGAGGAGGTCTTCACCCCCCGACAGTTCACCATTGCCAGCCCTCACCCAGCATCCCACGTTCACCTTTCATCCAGCTCGCAGTCTCCCACTTTAGGTCGCAAGTTCAAGAGGTTATCGCAGTACGACCGCAGATCCTGCTCGCCGCACATTACCACCACCAGTGGCGAGGAGCGGGTCAGTGGCCGTGGCATCGACAAGGAGAACACCATGCCTAAGGGCGGATCTGTCGATCAAGATCTGGAGAACAGCTTGTACTTGTCAAAGAGCGAGCATAACTCACCGACCATCCTGTTTAAGGATGAGTCCTCTACGACGCCGGGACTGGAGGCCAGTCGCCTGAGCTACTCCCCGAAACTGCTATCCTCCATCAACAACCTAAACGTGTCGGGATCGCCTCTGAACATTATCAACTCGGCTGGCTACAAGAATGGCAACTTTTTTCGCTTTCCGGAGATCGATCATGTCGTGCAGGATGCGCCCATGGATACAGCCAGTCTAGAGGAAGCTACACGCCGGGATCGTAGTCCTGCGTTGGCAGAGCCTCCGGAGCAACAGCAACAAAAATCGGAGGGCCGAAAGAATCGCAAGAATAAAAATAATCTCACCATTCGCATCACGGACGTGCCCATGAAAAACTCAAGCCAGCCATCACCATTGCCCAAGCCCAAGACACCGACCATCAAGAGCACCAAGGAGAAGGCACGCTCACTGGACTCGGCTGCCAATGAATCGGAACTGTCCATCGTGGTGCACAACATAACCGAATCTCATGGCAGTTGCGATGACATGGAGACGGCGCAGAGCAAGCCATCGACAAGTGTCATCCACCATCACCATCTTCAACAGCCCGCTTCCACCATCCACTCAACATCGCTCTCCCGATTGGATAGTCACCTAAGCTTGGCAAATCAGAGGCGAACGCCGCGCAGAAAGTCACCAGGAATCAACACCACTGACTGGCTTATGTACCACCGCAAGCAGAACCCATATCAGGTGCAACCGACGCACTGCAGCTCCACGACCCAAAGCTCCTTGGACTCGGACGCCAGCTTAACCCCCAGCCTGGGGGACTTTGAACTGAAGTCCGCCTGCAGCGTGGACGGCGGCTCCAAGTTTGGAATAGGCGCAAGCCTAGCGCCGAGAAGCGCCCACAAGCACAATCAGTTACTGCACTCGTCCAGCACAAATTTAAAGACGCTTCCCGAGTGCCTTACCCTGGTGGAGTTCTCCTCCACTGGCGGTGGTCCTAAGGAATCGCCTTTCAAGCAGAAGTCAATGGATCTGCCGATGCCGACACTGCAGGCAAAGACCACAGTGTCTACATCATCTATGAATCTCCTCCAACGTCGGGGATCCAATCACAGTTTAACTCTCAACCTGCACAGCTCTTGTGGCAACCTGATGAACAGTGGACTAAGTCATTCCAACTACAGCCTGGGCTCAATACTCAACTCCAAGTCCAGCTGCAATTTGGATGCGGGAAACGCCAGCCAAATTCGCGCGGATCCATTGCCACAGTCACATCTGCTGGCTAGCAGCCAGGGTAGTCGGCAGGGGTTGTTCAGAAGACGGGGATCAAACCACAGCATCACCCTGAAGACGGGGCACACTACGACGTCGTGTGGAGATCTAAACTCTATGCAGCAGCTCCAACAGCAGCAGGCAATGCTAAGCGCAGAAAAGTACAACCGACTCAATATGCGAACCAATTCCACCGGCTCGGGATCAGGCTCTGGTTCTAACGTACCTACTCCAAAACGAGGACTTTTAGAACGCCGTGGCTCCAATCAAAGCCTCACTCTCAACATGGGTAGCATACTGGGAGGAGCAAGTACCGAGATTCAGATGACGGACATTGGGCAACCGAAAGTCACGGTTTGCAGTTGTGCTGCAGCCAACCAAGCCCCGCATCAGCGCAAATTCTTTAGCACCGAGAACCTAAACAGCAGCAAAGCCAATAGCCAAAAGTTCTTTGGACAGGTATGTTTCGGTTCCGCCTCGGATTTGCAACCCAATCCTCAGCAGGATTCGGTGAGTGAAGATCAGGCCATTGGCGTCACTTGCACTTGCGCTGGGACCGTGCGCAACATTATGACCCGTCCTCTGTCACCGCAAACGACCAGCGAGGAGTTTAAGATCTACTTAGCCAGCATACAGATGCTGCAGAGCGCCTCCAATCCGCTCAATCAGTTTGATCTTATTCGGCTGAATTACGTGTTCGATCACAGCTACCAGACGAATAGAAACATCATAGAGCAGCCGCCGGTGCTGGGCTCTAACGCACGAGATATGGAGACGCCCACTGATCTGGTGCCCCCGAGCTCGGAGGACAGTGAACTTCTCGCGTCCTACCAGACAGTGGTCAATAGGATTGCGCAACCAATACCGGAGCTGAAGGAAAACGAGCAGAAGAGAATCTTTCGGGATTTGCACAAGGAGTTCTGGGACCTGCCGCTCAATCACCAAGAGAAGCCTATGGTTTTCGGCTCACAGACGAAAAATCGCTACAAGACTATCTTGCCCAACGAGAACTCTCGCGTGCTTCTCGAATCCGAGTCCAGCGAGCTGACTAGCTTGCTGGGAGAAGTCAAACGGACCAGCTCCGTGACCGCCAGCGAGGATTTGCCCTACATCAATGCCAATTACATCAAGGTAAAATAACTAAGTCCGATTCGAATGTAGTTCTTATCATCCTCTATTGCAGGGACCCGACTACGTGTCGAAGTGCTATGTGGCCACGCAGGGTCCGTTGCCCAATACTATCTTCGAGTTCTGGCTAATGATCTACCAGAACACGCAGCGTTACATTCGACGCTGCGTTGATGGTGGAAGCAGCAGCAGTCCTCACGTTGACAGGGAGCAAATCCTGCAGCAGTACTTCCAGAAGATTGTCATGCTCACCAACTTCACGGAAGCGAACCGGCAGAAGTGCGCCGTCTACTTCCCCATCGAACTGAATGAGGTCTTCGCGGTGGCCGCCAAGTGTGAGGTGTTTCAGTTGAGTGCGGCTGCCCGGGACTACTTCGATCGGTATTTAACGCCCACCTTTGTGCCGGACACTGTGGTGGCTTCCTCGGATGCGATCGACTATGAGTTAGGTGGCCGGCACATAGGCGTGGAGTCGATGAAGGTGACGCTGGAAGGAGACCTGCTGGAGGCTTTGCCCGCCCAGGGAAGCTTCTTCCTTATTAAAAACGTCGGCATTGTGCGAAGGAATGGTTACTCGGTGAGAAAGCTGGTGCTGCTCTATTGCATCCGTGTGCCACAGAGTGCTAGCTACCACCTGCAAAAGATCTACTGCTACCACTACTGGTATCCGGACTGGCCGGATCATCACTCGCCTCGGGACATCAACACGCTGCTGGACACCTGCTTGCATGTACTCAACCTTGGAAAGTGTGAGTCGGAGTTTGACATCTACAATGACAGCAGGAGCGAGAGGAATGCCCACCTGGCGGCTCAGCGGCTGGAGATCTACCAGCAGGACATCTTTAATGCAGTCCAGCCCCTTCCCGTTATCCACTGCTCGGCTGGGATCGGGCGTACTGGTTGCTTTACGGCCATCCTAAATGCAGTTCGCCAGTTGCGGCAATCGTTGGCTTACTCGCTCACCGGAATGCTCACAAAACCGCTGACAAGCAGCACGGCAGATGAGTACCACTATCCAACGGACAGCGACAGCAGCTTCACTTGCAACACCATCCGGCACATTAGCCACATTCTGGATCATCGGGAGACGGAGGCGGCTAAGGCGCCCGCATCCTTCGACCGTCTGCCTAAGATGCCGGACATTTTCGTGGACGTCTTGGGCATCGTTTGCAATCTTCGCTTGCAGCGGGGCGGGATGGTCCAGAACTCGGAGCAGTATGAGCTAATCCATCGGGCCATTTGCCTCTATCTGAAACGGACACTGGCGTTGAGGCGATTTTAAAAGAGCGAAAACCAAGATCAACAACTTTTTGACGACGAAAGGATGGAGATGAAGAACAAAACACCAATTTACTATTTGTAATCACAATTTTTGTGGCCCTTATTTTTATGAAAGCAACCGCAATGGACAAGCAAGTAAACAAGAATCAAGAAACCATGGCTAAAAGAGTCTCGAAAATGAAATATGATGGCATTCTCCGAAGAGAATTGACGGAATGCTTTCAATGTTTGCTAAATATTACTATTACCACATATTCTACATATATATAAATGTTTATTAAGTGTTGGATGTATGTGTGTTAAATGTGTACATAAGTGTAAATGTTTCCGACTTTTGGTGTGAACTATGCTTAAACTAAAGTTAATTAACAATTATTATACCCTACCTTACCTTACCAAAACCATACCTTACCATAAAGATGCGCATCTATACAAAACTCGAGACGTTCGTCGGCGTCCCTCGGTGAGTTGTGCATCCTGTTTGGGTGCGGAGAAAGCTCAAACCTTTTTCAAGTTGGACCCTTCGCGGGGTCCTTCTGACTAAAACACCAATTTCTCCAATCCCAAGCTGACAGCTCGACCGCCGGACGTTGACCAAAATACGGACAAGAGTTCATTTAAAACACAAGATAAAAATTCGATAAGTAAAATGGAAACCCATAAATGAACTTGTATTTACGTTTATGCAATGGAACTAGTCAAATAAAAATTAGAAACATTTTAAATGTAACTTTAATGTGTAAACTTGGCAGTGTCATTTTCTTGTTCATTGTGTTTAAGTAAAGGAAAATTGTGGGGCATTATTTAAAAGGAGTTTCTTTTTTCGGCACTTACAAACAATTCTCGGGAACTTTAAATTTAAGAAGGACATGTAATGAATTAAATACATTTTTGTTTACATTTTAATTTTAAAAAATAATAGTATTTCATATTTATAAATAATGAAGTCAGAGCTATTTATAGATATTAATTTTAGAATGTTAAATAATAATAGTTAATTTAATTGATTCCAATTAGCATGTTAGCCCTTATAAAAGCATTTCAAGTCCTCATCAACTATTTAACATCGAAAAGCACTCATGCAGCACCAGCCAAGGGTTAACGCAAGAAACAGCTGTTTTCGACGAGCAAAGTTCAGCGGTTTCGGATTCAGGTTTTGTGATTGCCGAATAATAATTGTTGATTAGATTGTTTACCAAGCCCGTAACGGGCTGATTTCACAATGCTCCTTCGTCCGTGTGGAAGAACGATCTTTACTAGATTTTACAGCAGCATGAAGGTATGGTGTGCCACTCTAGTCGCAACAAAATGGTTCAATCGCTAAATTTAAGGTGAAAGTGCAAGTGAAACAAGGCGTTGTGGTGGGCCGGCAGAAGAAGTTGTCCAATGGATTGGATTACAACAGTTTCCTAGGTGTTCCCTATGCAGAACCACCACTGGGAGAGTTGCGTTTCCGCGTAAGTTTTTAACAACCTTCGGGATGCACATGTAAATAATTTCGTACCTGACATTCCAGAGTCCGCGGCCATTGGAGAGCTTTCAAGAGCAGGAGATGGACTGCAGCAAGGAGGGAAGCATATCTCACCAGCGTGATCCGTTCACTTTGGAGGTGGCCGGCTCCGAGAACTGTCTTTTCCTTAATGTGTATGCACCTAAGGCCAAAAGTCCGGGGACTCCTTTGCCCGTCATGGTCTGGATTCATGGTGGCGGCTACTTCTTTGGCAACGGCAACAGTGACTTGTGAATTTCTCAGACCTACAAATGTTCCAATTTCCATATCTAATCGAACTTACCGCCTTTCAGCCACTTTCCCGGCAAGCTCATGGAGCAGGAGGTCATTGTGGTAACCCTGAATTACCGACTTGGAGCTCTCGGTTTCCTTAGCCTGCCCGAGGAGGGAATACACGGGAACATGGGACTTAAGGATCAACGTCTGGCTCTTGAATGGGTGCAGGAGAACATAGCCAGCTTCAATGGCGATCCAAATAACGTAACCCTCTTTGGCGAGAGTGCGGGCGGTTCTTCAGTGCATCTGCACACACTTGCCCGTCATGCCAACCGACTATTCCACAAGGCTATCATGCAGAGTGGGACTGCCAACATGGAGTGGGTGTTCCAGAACGAGGAACCTACCAAGACCAGACGTCTGGCGGAGCTCCTCGGCGGTGGTGATTTTGGCGGCGACACCAAAGCACTTTTGACCTTTCTGCAGTCAGAGAAGGCAACACCCTCTGCGATTTTGGCTAACACATTAAAGGTCTTGAGCCCCGATGAGCGACGACGTCACCTGCCCTTTGCCTTCAAGCCAGTAGTGGAGGACAGCAGCAGTCCGGATAGCTTTCTTGACCAGAACGTGATGGAGCTGATGCACAAAAAGAACTGCCACAGAGGAATGCCATTGATCATGGGGTACAACTCCGCCGAGGGGCTGGCCATGGTGGTGAAGGCCAAGCAAAAACTGGAGGCCTACGAGAATGATTTGGCCAGGATGGTTCCCCGCAATCTGGTGCTGGATGCACAGGCCCCAGAGGCGCAGGAAGCTGCTTCCGACATCCGAGCCTTTTTCTTCAACGGACACGCGCTGACCATGGAAAACCTGGATAACCTGGTGGATCTGTTCTCCGATTACCACTTCGTAATGGATATGCAGCATGCAGCGGAGATTTACGCTAGTTGCCAAACGCAGTCTCCTCTGTACTTCTATCGCTTGGATTATGTGGGCGGTCGTAATCTGTACAAGAAGATCTTTCAGAACGAGGACCTCCGTGGAGTGGCTCACGCCGATGATATTTGCTATCTGTTCCAGATGGCGGGTGACGAGTCCGAGATGAGGAAGGATGACTTGATGGTCACGGAACGACTTTGTGCAATGTGGGCGAACTTCGCGCGCACTGGAAACCCCTCGCCGATTTGGAAGCCTGTCAAGAAACCGCAGGATGGTGAGCCCTTCCAGCTAGACTGCCTACTTATCGATCGCGAGCTGAAGATGTGCACCAACCCGGATGGTGAAAGGATGGACTTTTGGAGGAGCACGTACAGGAGATATAGGAGCAAGTGCTACGAAGCTCTGAGAGCTAAACTCTAACTCATTGTAACTAAGTTAAACTACATAAATATGGCAATACTTCCTCAATAGACTTTTTCTCTAGGCTTCGAATGTTACAGGTTAATGTTAAAGTTTAATTAATGTTTCATTAGATGTTTAATTTAAAAAGTACAGTGGTTTTAAAAAGAAAACTTTTCTGAAAGTATTTGGTATATTTTGTATTTAAGATAGGTAACAGAACTGTACGGTATATTTATTCGGTACTCATAATGTTGGTATATTTCCACAGACCAGCAGCGGTCACACTACACTAAATGCAATAAACAAATTTCTAATTTATTTTGCAACAAATGCAAACGCCAAGAATCTAGCTGCACTTAGTCGCGTGAGAACAGCAAGGATACACGCGGGACGTGTGGAAGCGGGACAAGTGTGGTGCCAACATGTTGGTCAAGTGCTGCATCGGATTCGGGTCACTCTGGCCACTGGCCATAATGGTGGCCTTTTCCACTGCCTACAAGAACGGTGAGTGGGTAAATCTTATAAAGCGCAGCTCTTAACCAGCTGTTCCATTGCTCAGTGCGTCTCCAGGACAACATGTGCTCGGACAAACTGTTCTACACACTGGCTAAGCCGTTCCGTGGCGACCCGACTGTGCGGCTGGAGTTCGAGGACACATCCGGAGCGATCGTGACGCAGATGTGGAACTTGACACTGCCCCACGGCCATGGGGCCAACAAGATTAAGTACGATTGCCAGTTTCGTGTGGTGACCAGCGAGCTACCGCCGCGCGGCATCTACACCATTATTACGCGGCTCAAGTTCCGGCGCGACCCCGTTTCCAAGGAATGCATCGATTACATTCAGTTCAGCAGCGGCAATCGCTCGCCCAGCGAACGCATTTGCACCGACATCTCCATTGATGGCCCGGCCGGACGTCTGATCTTCGACCAGCGAAACCGCGATGTCAACGTGCACATCTTCATCGATCGATCGCGTCATATACTGGGTGATCCACTGGAGCTGCGCATGGTGCTTACGGCACACTCCGAGTGCCAGTTCAATGGTGACTTCCTTTGCGATCCCAACGACCAGTACTCGTGCATTTCGCGTCACTTTGTGCGGGACAACATCACCAACTGCCTGTATCCGTGCCGCGACGAGGGCACCTGCTTTCACGACGCCATTGTGCCGGAGATCGATACGGCCAATGTGGCTATATCGGCGTTGACATCGCTCATCTTCACCATGGTGGGCGTGGGATTCTGTGTGTGGATCTGCTGGAAGTATTGGAACTGCATAACGGTCCAGCAGCGGGCGCACGAAGCCTCCGCTGCCCGCTTCAATCAGCGTCGAGTCAGAGTGAGTATAGCGTGCTTGAGGCCTGGCCTGAACTCGCAACTAATGCCCAACCATATTTCCAGTCGGAGGTGCCCACCATTGAGCTGCCACCGTCGGTGCACTACGACGATAGCGTCCTGCACGAGCACGATACCCAGCAGCAACAGCAACCCGCCACGCCAAAGGATCTACCGCCCAGTTATGAGTCCCTGTTCCCGGAAAGATAAAGATCCGCGACGGGTGTCGCTCCGCTTTGTGCCAGATCAGCAAGTACTTGGTATCGCACACTTGTTGTATTAGTCCTATTAGGTAATTGTATCTCTATCTGAACCGTTCAGCAATCCATGTAAATATGTTAGGACTGATTTTATGTTTTGAGATTAGCATTAACGATCAAACATCTTTCTCAATGTGTTCACTTTGAACCAAATTTCAGAATACTCTACCCGAGAATTTCTACAGTTTTACTGGTGTATATATTTAAGTTTTATGTTGTTCAACTCTCCGTATTATTTGCGTAATTGTAACTGTTGAAACCGCCTTTTGGCGATGCAAATTGTTTACTCACTTACCGTACTCAATGAAATTATATCAATTATTTACCTAAGCATCAATTATTTATAAGCAAAAGTCACAGTACTAGTCTCTGTATTAGCTAGCGTAAATATTCCAAGGGCCAGCCAGGACTAGGCCGAGCATTCCACATAGTTGTACCTGTTTCTGTACTGCATAGATATGTATATGTTATGTATTTGTACGCATAGAATACCACGCGCTTGTAGATTTCTTTGTTGTGTGCTGGCCGAAAGTGTCAATTGTTCAATTTCGAGTATAAGATGTAGGCACACACGCTCACGAGATATGTACGAACTACAGTATTTACTCCACACATGTAACTGCAATGTAACTGAAAGTTCGGAGTAGTGGTCAGTAGGTCTTAAGCCAATTAACTCATATGTATACACACGCAACTCACTCAAATACGTATATTAACTGATAAATAAACCAATTAGATTTCAGCAAAGCGTGGCGAAAGTGCGGCTGGGAATTACCTCACTCTTCCGCTGAGCATCCCCAGTAGTAGGGCGGGGGTTTCATCACATGGTGACACACATCGTGAATCAGCACGTGCCTTATCCAATAACCTGTCGAACCGGCCATCCGATTCCCTGCACCATCAACTCATCTGCCCAGCAATCGGCGTTTGGTCACGACTAGAGGAACTGCGTCATTCGTGGGCTAATCAATGCTGGTCTGCTTAGTGCTCTGAATTAGATTTGCCATTGTTACCCACCAAAGTACATCATCGATGGATCGTGGTGGATGTGGCACGTGCTGGGGGGTCGCCTGGTCGTTGACTCGTCACAATTGACCAAACTGGTTATTGCCATCGTAGCTGCGAGACAATATGCTGACCAATCTGTGCCCCCGTTCAATGTCGGCCCACAATTGTCCAATTGCCTTGGAGACGCAGTATGCTATTTAATTAGCGAATGTGCGGCCCTCTTGGCAACCGGTAGCTGCTCCACGGATACATCTCTATATATAACGCCCAGGTGCCAATTATAACACGCACACAAAAGAGCCGCTCGATCGATCGATCGATCTATTCATCAAGTTCATGGACGAACTCAAAACACACTGCCGCTCACAGATTGGCCTTAATTCGTGTCAAGCACCCCGATAAGGAGTTTGACCGCTCAACCATCCATCACCCGAATCGCAGAACCCTGGGGGATCCTAGAAATTTCACTCCATCTTCCTCTGACGCCTCCATTTGCTCGGATCGTGAAATTCACACAGCGCATTAGCACCTCGGAATGGGGCGTGTAGGTGTGAGTTCACGCCCAAAAATAACCCTAAGAAAAGAAGTCGCTCTGAGCCACTTTCGCAGTGGCGCTGCCTTCTTAAGCTTTAAAAATAACTAAGGTAACTAAGGATCTGCTAACTGAGGTGTGGCTTATACCTTAACCGATATTGCGGGGTGTTCATTATGGTGAAGAGAGAAGCTTTGTTAGTTTAGGCATGCACATAAGACGTACAAGACATACAGAGGAAATAAGCCACCAACATTGTTTATAATTTATGTACTTTTCTTATCACACTTCCCTTATCTGCGGCACATTGTCACTTATTTAGCACGGCTCACAATGCTATTTTGCATAAACTGCGCAGCAAGAAGATTATTTAGCAATTGCAAGATCGACATTTGGTATCTTTTGCTATACAGTCAAACTTCTATATGATGAAATATATGTTGTTCGTTATTCAATTCAATAGAAACTTTATTTATTACTCATGCTTTCTATCCGCCTGGTAACGAACCCAAAAAGTAATAAAATTATCCAAATAAGCATAGGTTTTGGTTCTTTATAGGGGGTTTGTGAGAAACCATCGTAGCCACAGAGCCCAAATCGAACCGCACTCTAACCATTCATTGGTTTTGCGGTGGCAGCGGTGGCACCTCCGCCTCCCGAACGCATTGTTTGATGTTTTGGCCAGCAATTATATACGGTGCTCTAACCAGTTCCGCCAATCGCTGGAGTAACTACTACACTTTCTCGCCGGCGGAGAGCGCGTGACTCATACGCACGGGGGCCACACAAAGACGCTGGCAGCAATGGAACCACCACAGCCAGAAAGAGCAGCTCCGGCTAAAAGCTGTCGGCAAAGCAAGCGACTCGCTCAGTCCGCGACACACAGTTGAAGCTGAAAGATCGATTCGATTCGACTCGATTCGATACCGGCGGTCAGTCCGCATCCAAGTCAAGTCCAGGCCCGCCTCCGTTCCCAATTGCCCGGTGCAATTCTCAGTGAAGTGAACGATTTATGGAAATTCATTGATTGCAATTCAAGCCGACAAGTGTGTGAACCAAAAGCAAACAACATTCCCAATCACTTGAGTATCAGCGGCATCAGCAGCAGAACCGACACCATGCAAAACAGCCGGATTCAGACAATGTTGCCCACTTTAATAGGTGAGTCTGGGACAGGCCTTCTCTGGATATGGGCACGGATATATGGATATATTTAGTATATATATGTATATGTGCAGCCAATGAACAAGTCTCGCACAAGCATATGCTAATTATGTGAACGTGAACTTCCACAAACTCTAGCTGATTGCAAGTGAATAAAGCGTGAATAAACCATTGCGCAGGGAATGCTTGAATGGGTCTATGAAAGATATTTTTTTTATAGTATCGCCAATCATGCCATAGAAATAGTCGCTCTGAGCTTGCTTAAAATAAAAAACAGGAAATATCACTGATTACTTAATTCATTCTTGGCGTAAGTAGTGACGGTATGCGTGTCATTAAAGCCTCATAAATATTATTAAACGGTCAATTATGATTAATAGGTTGCCCCTCCAAACACAACAGCGACTTGATTAAGCACCTGTTAGCTAGTTTCAGTACAAAGAAATAGTTTCTTAGGAGCAGCTAATGCTTCTACAAATCATAAAATAATTTCCTTTATAGCTATTAAGCTACCGCTATATATTCCTCCCGATACGATTATCACACGCCATTACCATTATACCATTGTGTCCCATGGCGTCTGTTTGAGGAACTTCTGGCGTCAAGACCATATCATCTTGGGCCTCGATCCAGACATCGTAAACCAGTTAACGATGTCTTTACGATCCCGTCATCTGCTAGTCCCGTTAGATAAGATCTGATAGCCGGCGACATGTGATCATCCAAGCGAATCAAAGTAAAAGCCCCCGTTTCGCTGACATTTCACTTAAGTGGGATGAGGGTTGTTGGCTCGCTTTTAAAGGGGGCCTGTGGTATCTCGACCTGCAATTTTCCCGCAACTTATGAAAACCGGTTAAGCCAAAGTCACTGGCCAGCCCCAAATGCTAATGATAAATGACGTTGTTAGGCGGGGCGGTGTACTCCACTCTCAACTAAGCCACCCAACTCGGGCATAATGGCAACCATTCACGGAAATTTCCGAAATTCGATTTCTTAAGCACAAAGCTTTGGGCGTTCAAGGTCCAAGGCGCGTGGAGTTCGTTTATCTGTGGCTCCGATACCAAACAATAGCAGCCATATCCCATATACCATATTCCATATGCCATATTCCACATCCCATGTGCCATGTGCCATGTCCAATGCTCCGTTTGCACAGGTGCCAGCGCAGCAGTGAAGTGGAATTGCTGACGTTGACTCCAGCACGTTTTGCCATTAGTGGCTAATTAGAATTTAATTGCTAATATTTTGTTGTGGCCGCTTGTTTTTCCACTTCCACTTGGTTCGGTTTGTTTGCATGCGTTCCTTTGCTGCCACCTTATCAGCATGAACTCGACACTCTATAAATAAGCGAACCTACCCGCACAAATTATCCACTGTTTACTGGAAACTCTCCCCCCAAGAAAAGCCAGCAACTAAACATTAGCTTTGGCAGTTATTTTTAGCAGCCGTATATCAAGTGCTCTAATCTAGTTTAGTGCGTGCTTAAGTGGAGCAGGGTTGTCCAGGTATGCTCCTAATTACTTGGATACATATTCAGTGTACTCCGAACATGTCTTGCAGTCTTATCAGCGTGGAAAATATTTGTTCTTGACTAGCAGAAAGATTCCACATCTGTTTGCACATGACCATTTGGTCTAGATGAATCCAAGTGCTAGCAGAAATTAGCACAATGCTTCCATTCAGCTATCTTTTTTGCAGACCGGCGATTCCTTATGGCTTTTTCGACCCTTTTAGAGGAGATCCAGTGATTTAAATTCGTTCACCTTTCGCATCTATTAAGCAATTACACTTTGTGGCTAGCCAACAGGGCGTATGCATATAAGTCACATAATCAGTTGAGCCACTTTTTCTCTGGACTAACACTACGAAAATTGCCATCGGATTGACCACCTGTCGCTCATCGCGACTCGTCACAACCCCAACCTAGGTCAACTATTTCGTACGAGCGAAATTTCATCAGCTGCGTGGTGAAATTGATTGCGAAATGATGGGCGGGCGTTGTAAAGATACTTGGTCTAAAATAAAGATGGTGTGCCGTGTGCCCCTTTTGCCCTCCAGGCCGATCCCAAAGAGAACGCACCTTCGATGGTGAAATATGGCCGCCGCCAAAGAAGTGTGCAAACTCGGTCGCCAACTCATCGAATGGTCTTTAAATGTGATAGCAGCTTTACTGGCTTTTATGGTGTTTGTGTTTTGATGGGTGCGTCAAAATATTTTGCAAATCGCAGCCAGGAAGATAATGTCCGAGCATTGTGGACGGGTTAACACCTACCCCACTAGTCGCACTGAATAGAGATGTGCTCCATCCATATCAGGGCTGGAGATATCCCCAAAAGCCGCCTCAGACACCAGGTCGTCATCAGGGGCCTTATCGTCAAGTGGCTTTGGCCGTAAAGCTAGTCGCCCGATTGGCTGAGATTATTTAGCGATCCATTTACGGGGGGAACACCCTGTTGGCACTGGTTATATTTAGATTCCTTATCAGTCGCCGATGAAGATGATCACTCCCACCTGGAGGAAGATCCATTCGTTCGCACGCCCCAGAACGGCGATGATAAGCTATCAGTGAGCTCACCGCTCTGTCTTGATTTCCTGATACCATAATATCGCTAATATCGCTAATACCGCTCCTCCGCTCCGTGCCCCTCCCTTCCAACCCATTCCGATTCGTTTCGATTTGGTGCGGTTTGGTTTGGTTCGGCGTGGCGATTTTGCTTCCTTTCAGTAATCATCGCCAGCTCGTGCTGCGTACACGGCCAGTCCTATCTCTTCAGCCTGGAGAACGTTCTCAACGAGTCCTCCCGCCACCTGCCCTACGACCTAACGAGCCTAAACGGAACCACCGAGGTGGAATTGTTTCCCGATACCATCTCGAACAACACCCGGATTATTGTCTACAAAAACAGTGAGTATCTGAAGGATGCAAAACTAGTTGTGCCAAAACATGAGACAAATTAAGACCAAGATTTTTGTGCTAGCTAAAAATCGCCTAATTCGATTCCATGCAACTCTTTTAATTCCAAAAATAAATAAAGTGATCCTTCGAGTAAAATCGAGTGTATAATTCGAGTAGAATCAGCAGCGTATTTTTAGAGGCTTATCAATATTAAATATAAACTGAAGTGATTTATGTCGATAAGGTTTGCTGCAAAACGTCACTAATTTTACGAATTTGTATGAATAACCATCGTAGTACAATTGATTTCAGTACAGTACTGTGTAAAAGTAACTAAGATCGGTTGGGAAGGCTTCCAACAGCCATAAACACTTGTAACCCCTGTTACACTCGCCCACCGGTAATATCTCAATTTTAGTGGACCCTTGAGGCCGGCAATCAACAACAATTCCCGTCTAATTACTATACCCGCCACTGGGGTTGGCCCCTATCAATGGGCCATTTAAGCCATTAGCGTAGTTCGATGACGCGACAGTATTGCGAATCGAGCAGTTTCGTCATAAAGTTATAGCACAGACCCACAATTCGTGACTGGAAGCACAGCACCAGCAACTGATAACCCGATGTCCGCCAGTAATCTTTGGTGCTGGGATGAACTTCTAGCCATTCTAGGTATTTCTATGTAGTGTCTGGGCCTTAGATTCCAATTAGAGTGGGATTTGCCTATGATTTGGCCGACATACGTGTATGCACCCTGTAGTAGTCACGACCAAAACTAATTAAAACTTAACACTTTTAGCTGTCGTCGAGTCGCCCAACGATCTATCCCAGACTGCGATGGATGTGATCACGATTGTGTGGTACGTGGCCACGTTTCTGGCCCTGGCAGCCTTCTTCATGCTGATGGCCTGCTCGGATCGCAGATGCCGCGACATGAGGCGTCGTCCCGCCGGAGGTCAGTCCACCGAGGGTCTGAGGGCACCACCCACGCCCTCGCCATCGTACAGTGAATTTGCACCCCCCAGCTACGATACGGTGATCAAGATGCAGCACGCGGCCAAGACGAGTGTCTTTGTGATACCGTTCAGCAACAAGGCCGGAGAACTGGGTGCTCCAGCCTCAGCAGTGCCGCCCCCAACTGCCAACCCATTGCCACCGCCAGTCACCTGCGATGTGATCATCGTCAATGAACTGCAAAAGTCCGCTGACTAACCGATAGGCCGATGGTGGATCCCTGGAGAAGACCTGGATCCGGCCTTCCTATTCCGACTCTGTGATATTTGCTGTTTACGGCAATGGGCCAAGTATTAGATGTCGTAAGATCCCCACAAAAAGACTGACAATGAAAGATATCTTTGTGCGCACATGCATTCAAATGCCAGTTAAACTGAAACTAGATGAATAAGTAATTAACTGTAATAAACCATAGCGTTATCGTACATGACTCATCCAAATGGATGTTTGCTGTTCCAAGAACTCGCATTTTAAAATTAATCAGCGGCTTATGCGGGATATTCCAAGTTGGGGGCAAAATATCTGGGCACTTGCTGGGCCGAAAGCTTTCGAGTAAACGGATTCCGAAGACCAAAACCGTGTAGCTTCGGTCGGGTGGTGAAAGCTTTCTGGTGAAACGAATTCAAAACAGAATGCTGATAAGAGTTCTGGGAACTTTTCCGTTGTGGGGTTTTCACTTGATGCGAACGGATTGGGATTGACAAGGCCTGAAACTCAGCGCCGTCGTTCAGTATCAGGTGATCTGGAGTTGAAGTGCCATCCGTGCGTTTATCGAAGAGAAAACACGGTTTGTTTGAACACATCGGTGGGATAAATGGATTAACAGGGGGCAAGTTAAGCAAACAAAAACAGGGCACTTTCCGTTCCCATTGCCATTTAGCAGCTGAGGGTCAGGCGTTCAGTTCATTCATCAATCGATTCCAGTGAATTTCAGTTGCCTTGCAGCCGCCGTTGTTTAGATCGGGCGAAGGTAACATCTGGCCCAAAACAGACCTCTTGTTTCTGGGGCACAGCCAGCACACCGCCTATGCGGCGTATGCGTAATATTTCGATTTTTCAACGTTTTTGTTTACTTGCCACACACATATTTCACACAAATTGTTATTCGAAAATTACACAAACACCGCCGACAAGAACTCAGCGCTGGCGTAGCAAGATGATAGCAGATGTTTGTGCCAAACCAGATCGGATTGCAGTAAAATCACGTTACGCCCCGCTCAATGCGGTTCTTGTTCTTGCTCCGCGCCGATGGTCGTTGATTGCCGCTGGTCGCCCGAGTTGAGCGCTTGATTGTGGGTCCATTGATTGGGCGATCTCCAGTGCACCGCAAGAAACTTCCAGCCCCAACTGCCTTTAAAAGTTCATGTTAAATAGGGTCAACGGTGCTAATAATCAGAGAACAGCGCTCAATATGTCATTGTTATATCTTAAACAGATACTTAATTTGATCCTAAAGAGACCCCTTATTTGTGTACCAAATCAATATTATTAATGCATTTTCCTTTCTATAACATGAGTGCCACAAAACTAATAATCCTCATCTTATTACTTTCTTCCCGTGTAGAAGCAGCGTTTATAGATGTTAAATATTAACCACTGATAAGTGCACACTTACAAAGCAGCCACCATAACAAGCAGCTCGCCTTTTCTCTGCGTGTACTCAAGCGCGTTGCTGATTGAGGCGGATGAAGCCGATCGGAGTTGGCCAATTTTCTAAACTCTCTCACGGTCTTCAATTGAACCGCACTTCCTCGACTTCCTCCCGTCGCCGCCGCTCTTTCTCGATCTTCCGCTCGCTGCGTCTCTTTCTCTTTCTCCGCGGCTAGTTGTGCAAAAACGCACGCTCTTTCTCCCTCTCGCACTGTTGCTCTGCCACTCTGCCACTCTCCCACTCTCCCACTCTCCCACTCTCCGACTCTCCCACTCTCCGTCCGCAAGTAATTTTTCGTTGAAAAGCCTCCGTGGCGTAATTAGCTGGGATCAGTCCAACGCAAACCGCGCCATCGAGTGGAAGTGGATTACTGCTGCCAGAGTGAAGTGCATCGAAGCCAGAGCGAATCAGAGCGAAATTCTACACGTATCACGCATACGCCCGGTAGTACAGTAGTACAGTAGTACAGTCGAATAACCGAATATGTCGCCGAGAAGGAGCTTGCTGTGCTGCCTGCTGGTGAGCAGCATCCTGGTGCTGCACCAGGCCCAGGCCAACATCGAGACAAACGAAGTGGACGACCCCAGTTGGTACAGTAAGTGTGCGATCCGGATCAGGGCGGCCAAAGCGAGCAACCACAACTTAACCCATTCCAAACGCAGTGCTGCAGGGTGTGCGTGTGTATCCCAATGATCGACAGTGCGTGCTGGTCGGAGGACTGTGTGTCCAGGAGGCGGACTGCATCGAGCCCACCTCGAACAAGGGATTGTGTCCCACGAGCGCCGGACTGGGCGTCGAGTGCTGCTACGAACGTGAGTAGATTGCTGGCTCTCTGCTGTGTATACCATCCTGCTTAAAACCTGCAAAAATCAACCCAAAAACCACCCAAAAACTCCCAAATAAATCCGATACCCCATCAGTCCGCTCAAGCCCAACGCCCGCTTCGCAACGCTAAAAATCTAACCACAGTCAAATTGGCATCGTTACTCCCCCAAATATCGCCACTAACCCGCAAACCCGATCCATTCTGTGTGTCCCGTCGCCCTCAAAAACGTCAAACGTCATCCCGTTGCCGTTGCAGTGCCGGTCAGACCAGCGCCCTGTGCGGAACACCTGGGACAGTGCATGGACCGATGCCACCAGAGGCTCCTGCGACCCGGTACCGATTGCCAGAACGGCCAAGTCTGCTGTGTCCTGATTTAGTTATACTCAACCACACCAAACACATACCCGTGCAGAGGAACAGCATCGCCAAATCACTTAGTTTTGCGACAATTCAAATACCCAAAGCTTGTATGCAGGACTTCTAGAATTTTCCAAAAACATTGGTCAAGTCTTTTATTTTCAACATATCTCTTAGTAGGACTTATCAACATATCTACAAATTTGAAAGCAAAGAATAATTTTTATTTGTATATGTACAGTCTTCGCTGTATATTGTTTTCGCTCAATAAAATAGGCATAACATTAAAATGATTTGCAGAATTGAGTGCTAAGCGGATCGAAACTAATTTGGTTGTGTTATTTCTCTGTACACACACACACACCGTACATAAACATGTATTTATTTAACTATATGTATATTAATTATATTGTACGAATAATTTTGTATGACTTCTTAAGAATCCAAAATCTCCCGACAAAGTGAAATATTTGACTGCTTCCAATAAATGCATTGTAAATATTTTCCAACACAAATCTCTACTCACTCGAGCGGTCACGTATCTGAGGATTATGTAAGTACATATGGGCATGGTTAGCTGACAGCCCCCAGTTCTGATCCCATTGTGATCTGGGAGCTCGGTCGTCACGTGCTCCAAGTACAGTTGGATGATCGAAGTGCCCAAGATCGGGATTGGGGATGAAAACAATAGCCTCATCATCGGCAAACTAATTCCAGAGATGATTCCAGATGATGGGCCAGTGTGAATCACAAGATGGCAATTGAAAACAACAGCTTATCGCTCCGCCAACATTCAATGTCAAGTTCAAATCACGAAACATCACTTCGTTCTATGGACCGCCTGCTATGAATTCAGTTTCGAATATTTTCCAAACAGTTCTCAACCGAAATAAACGACCTTGCCACGCATCGCGAAGATATATCATCCACGTCCATGTGCCGCGCATGCCTTGCTTTTCTGTACTCCCCGATATCTGTTTGTATCTTTCGGTTTGCATGACTTCATTGCTAATGTTTGGACGCCTATTCCACTCGGCTATTTATAGTTGGGCGGTCGCCCGCTCGACCGCTCGACGGGGTCACTTAAGTTTAGTTCGATTTGATTTGGCCAGCGCTCTTGAGTTGAATGAATTCGCACGCAGGGCGGCATTGAGGCGCCAACATGTGTCTATACCGATGGGGCGTAGTGGAATGTAAGTTGCAGAAAACGTGAATGAAATAGGAAGGCTTTGGTAGTACGAGGTGTGAAATTCAAAATTATAATCTTAAAGTTCCAGAAACTTCGCTCATATATTCGATAATTGGGCTAGTATTTTGCTTAAGTTTCAGGTAAGTAAGTGTCTTGAATAAAGATGGCCTGCATCTGGAACTGTTTTCCATCTCGGAACCTATCCTGACCTTGCATTGAGTGCATTGCATCACTCTCGCTGCATCGAATTCATTGTCATGGCACTTAACCCGCCAATGCCAGTGACAGTGAAACCATCGGCCTTGTCCGGACACTATTCGCGATCTATATCAGCATATGGAGCGGAACCCAGGCGTGTGCATTCCGGCCGGAGTGTACTATGTGCCGTGTACAATTGAGTAAATCAGCGTATATCAAAGCACCGTACTGCGTCTTAGATTGCATAAGTTGTGCAGTAATTGTGGACAGAAATCGCTGCCGATTGAACCCGAACCCGAACCCGAACTCGAACCCAATCTCAATCCAAACCCCAATCAAAAACCCAATCCAAAACCCAATCCAAAACCCAAGCCCAAACGCAGGCCGATGCGATCCGATCGGTGCCGAGTCGAGTTTGGCGTAATATTTTGTAGGTACTTTGGTTTTTTTCATGAGCCGCTTATCAGGGCGGCTCATCATCACCGGGCGGCACGGCATATAATAAATTATTTATGTGTTTTGTTTTTTGGTTTTTTGATGTTGTGGCTTTTTCCCCGCTTTGCATTTGTTTACGTTTTCGATTTCATTTTTGCGAGCTAATCCCGATTTATTTTCTTCTATTTGTGTCGCATTTGCGACACAGAGAAACTAATAAAACTTTGTGTGCGGCATTTTGTGGAGCATTGGGACTGGGAACTGGGGATTGGGAATGGGGATTGGGGATAAGGCTCAGATACGCTCATATTTCATGTCATAGTTCGCACTCATTTTTCACTTGACATAAAACTGCGTTGGCGTTTGCGTCTCATATCCTGCGGCCAGTGCAACGCAATTTGCATCTCCATGCCACTCCGCCGCACTCCGCCGCACTCCGCTCCTTCGTCCTTTGCCTTTTTATATTTTGCACTTTTTTAATTTTTATTTTCGCATGTGGCTGGTAGTGTGGAGAGTATAAAAGAAAATGATTTTGTGGCATAAATTAACGCCAAGAGGCACACGGAACACTATTAAAAAATACGGATCCGCCACGGCACACACATGCCGAGCTGACTGGTTGGCTGGTTGGTTGGTTGGTTGGCTGGCTGGTTGGTTGGCTGGCTGTATCCTGGATCCTGGGCCTGGCCAAAAGGATGTGGCAAGTCAATGGCTTATGGAAAATCCAGGATATGCACTTCACGGCCGCGTGAACTTCGTGTTGTCAAGGGGCCGGGCGAGCTCCTCATGCAATTAATCCTTTTTCTCCTGGCTCGCAGCTCATCCTTTGCCAGCAAAATGACTTTTTAAGTTAATTTCTTATGCGCTGAGAATCTTTCCTTCATCGCAATAAAATGTATGAGGCGTTCAAAAATAATCCATCATTTAATATAACTGAAATAATGGCCATCCATTTGGATGGAAGCTGCTTTCAGAGCAGCTGTTGGCCATAAATTTCAATTATTTTGTTAGCTCATTTCTTTTGGCAAGTATTTAAACTCGTTTTTGTCCTGGATCAACAGGTTAAGCTCTGCGTTGTTTGCTGCCAAATATTTGGGTTAGGTAAACCCGGTTTTATGGTCCGCACAATGTCAACACGACATCACATTTTCCTTAACCACACACAAACAGTGATTTCGAAAAGTGTAGTCCAAAAATGGAGCATTAATTACCAGAAAATACATTAAAATAGCTTCACAAGCAATCTGATAAGCAATACCACATATCAGTTAAAGAACTCTTACAAGATTATATAACTGTGATTTAATTAACCTCAAACTGGCACCCCTTCCCATATTTATTATTGATATTTGCTTATAGCCAAATAGTTCCAAGTGTGCTTAGTCACGGGACTAGACTTTTAAGTGGCACTTTGTGACAGAACGCCATGGTGGCCTCTCGACCATCTTACGAATTTGAAATTTTGATGCAAATTGATGTGCAAATGGCATAAAATGAAATTACTCAAAATCCTTTGACAAATATGAGGGGTACCCCCCCACCACACCCCCGCACACACCGCACCCTGCCACCTGAACAACAAGTCCCCTTTGTGGATAATACCATTAAAAGCGAGTAAATGAAAGTGAAATTGGAAATGTTTCCATAAGCCAGGGAGGCAAGGATTTTTCCGGAGATGTCGTTCCACCTTTTGATGTACGAGTATGCAAGATATCGTACACAAATGCCATATTCATGCGTACATGGGTAGATGGATGTACTACCCCCTAGAAATTCCCGCACAATTAGCTAGAAATTTTTTTTGGGTTGTGCTGTAGCCACACCGAAGTGCTGGCCCCTGGGGCGGAATCTTCATTTTTTGTAACGGGATTAGCCGCAATTTCTTTAATTAAAATTTCCATCACTCGCGTGGCACGGGCGGATTGGAGTTTCTAAGCTGGCAGGAGGAGAAAGGATTGTAAATTACGCTGTCAGTCAGTCACTCAGTCTGTCAACAACAATTAAAACGGGAAGCAACAGCAACAAATTAAAAATTCATCTTCCGCAGGATTCGCAGGAACTCATCCATGTCTTACATCTTTTCCCATTCGCATCCTATCCCGGGGTTACTTGATGTGGTCCTTTTTTTTAATTTGATTGGCACGGCGTTTCCGGTTTTTCTTTGCTCACCACCTCGCTCCTTGATTAGCTCACTGAATGTGAAAACGGGTTGGCTGATGATTTCTTTTTTTATGTTTTATTTTTTTTATTTTCGGATATTTGCTCTATTTGGTATGATGATTTGGCTTGTGTACCCTTTTTTTGCCTCCTTTCTAATTGAAACCTAATTTTCTGCACTTTTCTCATTATTGGGGAAATAAAAAGGAAAATGCCGCAGGTGGGCGAAGTTTTCCTTTGCCCAAAAGTGATCCCCGTCTTGGCTTTATGGCATATCATATCATGGCTGACTTCTTTTCAAACATCGCCAGCTCCGCACCGAGTTGTGCAACTTTCTGACTTTTGTTGTGTGCAAATAATTTGCAGCTCGTTCGCTGGCGTCATTAACAATGTAGGGGGAAATGGCAGAAAGTTTTATCTAATTAATGAAACTTCAACGCAACGTCAGCAGTCAGCACTCAGCACTCAGCACTCAGCACTCGGAGCAGCGAATGCCTGGAAATCCGCCTTGATGTCGTATTGTTGACAGTGACGCTGCTGCTCGGGATAACTGGGCGGGGCAACGTGGCGTATGATTGCTTTTGTGTAAACAAGCCACGCGTAGCCCACGTACATACATACATATAGATGTGTATCTATGTCGCAGTTTCGCTTTTCATTTTGGCATCGCCTTTTCCATTTTTTGGTGCGCCTCTTTATCCGTCAAAAGTTTTTTAATTAGCAACAAAAAGTAAAGGGTTAAATATCGCGTCGAAAAGTTTCGGCAAGCTAACAATTAAGTTTCGGCAATGCCGCTGACACGCCCCCTTCCCGCACAGCACGCCCCCAAAAAGGGGCGAGGGGCGAGGGGCGGAGGCGCGAGTGCAGATAATAAGTATTAAGCAACACTTACTCGCAATTAAGTTTTGCTCCTGCCAGCGCCGCGTCCTTCTTTGTTGACTTTTTTCCGGGCTGTAATTACGCGTAATCGCAAAATTAATTCCTGCACATGACTGCACCGCTCGTCGGACAGCACAGGATGGGTGTATCCTTGCCGAGCTTTCTGCTTCGCCTCCTCCTTTCCGGCCAAACTGAATGAGGATTCCGCTCCGGCAATAACCCGCAGCCAAGCCAAGAACATCACCGCTCCTCAGCTGGAAATGCATTAAGCAGCGGGCCGCAGACAAATCTGTGTAATATTCATGAGATTTGTTTTACGATGTGCTAACAATGCGTAAATGTACCACTACAATGGCCACAACAAGCAGCTCCCAGTTAAGTGGAGCACCTTGCCAGCTCCGTTTTCCGCCACTTCATCCAGGACGACTGCAATAG